CACTAAAAAAAAAAAAAAAAAAAAAAAAAAGCCACAAAAAAATAACAACTTGCAAAACCATGATGGGAGCCCATGGAAGGAAGTTGTGGCCTGGTATTGCAAGCACTTTGTAGGTGGTGTCCCCTCACCCCACAGTTAGTGCAAGAAAGCTCTGCAGAAATGGTCTGAATTAGTCTTGCACGACTTGCAGACGAAAACTTTAAAATTCATCCTCAGCCTTTAGGACTTTGTGGAGTGGTGTGCTTGCAGGGTTGTGCTATATGTATCAGAATACATACAAGTACTTAGGTATTTGAGGCAGAGAGCAAAGCAGAACTCCAGCAAAGAACATCCACTGTTCACACTGAATAAAGTAGCTGTTTTCTTAATCTGCTTTTGAGGTTTGTATAGGTTGTTTATACAGAGCAGATATGGATCTCTTTGTAAGCACCAGCCACCCAGCAGCCCACAAACCAGGAGAATTTTCATTTAAGTGTCAGCAGACACCTAAGCAGCACTAAGTTATCAGTCAGAGCAGTGTCCCAGCACTAGTCCCTCTACTATCATGTACTTTTGGTGCAAACTGAGGAAAAGCCCCAAAATGTGGGGAAAATAGCAGCTAGGATTAGATCCAGGCTTTGCTGTGAAACTACACTTCAATGAGAGCAAGTTGGGTGACAGTAAGTAGGGCACTCAGTGACTGACACATTGCAGTGTGCAGGTGTATACATCCTGCCAGCAGGAGCACAGATCTTAGCCACTAGACTGGGTACATCCACTGCAAAACAAACTTTCAGCATGTCCCTAAGTGGTGGTTTTTAGAGGCCCTGTGGTTATGCTGAGGAATTTCTGTTCTAGCCTTATCATCTCTCCTGGCCCTTGGGAACAGGACAAGTTACCAGTGATCCTTCTGATGTAAAACTAGTATTGTTAGTTTACTTAGACTGGCCTCAAATTATACTTGGTTTTAGGTTTCCGACTTAAAAAATGCAGTGGAGTTCCTTGATAAATTAGTGACATCAACATCTATTTGTGTTCCTATGTAGTGACTCAGAGAGAGAATTACTGTATATGTATATAGGTCTAAAAAAAAAATTGTATATATGTGTATATGTATTCCGTGCACATTCTTTTCACAGGGAAACAGATTGATTAGTTTCCATAATCAGGGTGCATAATTCCATCATGCAGTAAAAAGATTTTACTATTACCTAAACGATCCTTTTTTTTTCCTGCTTCCTCTTCAGTCTCCAGGATTTATTTAAGTGCTGTTTGTGTTCTGCTGCTGATAGTAGAGCTTTGGGAAGCACGTGATGAGGAACAGAATAAACAAGTACATGCTGTACTTGCTGATCCTGGGCAGTTGTCACAGCTTTAAAAAGTGCCAGAGAAACACCTGAATGAGGAGTGCTTTGATACCTGAAGCAGCACTGAAATCACATCCTCACCCCTGGGATAGCAATAATTCAGGGTAAATACTCATCCTGAATAATTTTCTCTCTGCTTTTGTTCAGCCTGCCTCTTTTTTAGAAGTAATAAAACACATTTGAGTTAAAAAATAACTGTTGGATTTTCTTGGCAGGAGTATTCTTAATTCCTCTCAATGTTCTAATGTAATTCACAGAATATTCTTAATAAAGTTTTGTACCAGCACAGTGGGAGTTGTGGATCAGGGGTGAAAATGAGAAGAGAGTGCAGGGGTTGTTTACATCAAGGAGGTTCACTAAAAAAACATTAATATAATGAGACAGGAGAGTTGTAAAAGGGGTTAGACAGGAGGGTCTAATACTTAAAGTGACCTAAAGCCCAGTTTTCATATCCTTATCACGTAATGTAATCACACATTTCTTTTCATTGCTAATTTTTGCTCTCATTGGTCAATGGCTGCTAGTTTCGCAGTGGATTATTTCTGATCTCCTTAGGCAGTGTCAAGTCTGAGATCTAGCACCAGAAACCCTAAGGGAGGGATGGCTATAGAAATCTAGACGTGTCAGAATCACAGAATCATTAGGGGTGGAAGGGACACCTGGAGATCAAACCCCCCTTCCAAGGCATGGTCAGGTACAGCAAGTTACACAGGAGCCTGTTCAAATGGGTTTTGAATGTCTTCACGGAGAGGGACTCCAGGACAACCAGTGTAAAGTGTAAAGAAATTTCTCCTCATGCTGAGGTAGAATTTCCCGTGTTTAGTTTATGGCCATTGGTCCTCGTCCAGTCACTGGCACCACTGAAAAAAGCCTGGCACTGTCCTCTTGGCACCCACCTTTGAGATATCAGTCTTCTCTTCTCCACACTAAATAGGCCCAGTTCCTACAGTCTGTCCTCATAAGACAGATGCTCCAGACCCCAAATTATCTTTGTGACCCTCTGTTGAACCCTCTCCAGCAACTCCTCATCTCTCTTTTCGTGAGGAGCCCAGAACTGGACACAGCACTCCAGATGCAGCCTCACCAGGGCTGAGTTGAGCCACAACTCCCTCAACCTTCTGGCCATGCTCTTCCTGATGCACCCCGGGATACCCTTGGCCCTCCTTGCCACAGGGGCACTGCCAGCTCACGGACAGCTTGTGATCCACCAGGAGTCCCAGGTCCTTCTCCACAGAGCTGCTCTGTAGGAGCAACCCCTGGCCTTTGCTGGCACTTGGAGCTGTTCTTGCCCACGTGCAGGACCTGACACCTGCCCTTGCTGAACTCCTTAAGTTTCTCTCTGCCCAGCTCTCCAGCCTGTCAAGGTCCCACTTGGGGGACCAATGGCAGCAGAGCCTTCAGGTGGATCACCACTCCCTCAGTTTAGAGCCATCAGCAACTTGCTGAGGGTACATTCTATCCCCTCATCTGGGCCATTGATAAGCAAGTTGAACAGGACTGGTTCCAGTGTTGATTTATCCCAGAAAATGCCACTGGCTGTTGGTCTCCATGTGGATTCTGTTCTGCTGGTCAAGACCCTCTGAACTCGGCCATTCAGCCAGTTCTCAATCCACCTCACCATTCATTCCTCTAACCCACATTTCCTGAGCTTATCTGCAAGGATGTTATGGGAAACAGCGTCAAAAGCCTTGCTGAAGTCAAGGCAGACAACATCCACTGCTCTCCCCTCACTGACCCATCCTGTCATGCCTCCACAGAAGTTTATTAGATCGGTCAATCATGAGTTCTCCTTGGTGAATCCATGGTGACTGCTCCCAGTGACCTTATTGTCCTCTACATGCCTGGGCATGACCTCCAGAATGGGCTGTTCCATTCCCTTTTTGGGTATGGAGGGGAGGCTGACAGGGCATATCTCTCAGATCCTCTTTCTTGTCCTTTTTGGAGATGGCAGTAATGTTGACTCTGCTCCAGTCATCGGGCACCTCTCCTGTTCTCCATGCTTTTGCACAGATGATGGAGGTTGGCTTATCAACATCTGCCATCTCCCTGGGCTCCCATGGGTGCATCCCACCAGAGCCCATGGATTTATGGGTGTTAAGTCTCTCTAGCTGATCTCTAACCCAACCCTCTGTGACCACAGTGAAATCTTCCTTTCTCCACCCTTCCTCTCCTGCCTCTGAGGTCTGGCACTTCTCAGGGCTGGCCTCACCAGTAAAAACAGTTAAAGAAGGCATTCAGTAATTCTGCCTTCTCTGTGTCTTCCATCACCAGGACACCCATCTGATTCAGCAGTGGCACCACATCTTCCCAATCTTCCTTTTGCTGCTGATGTACTTGTACAAGCCCTTTCAGTTGTCCTTGGCAGATTCAATGCCAAGTGGGCCTTGGTCTTCCTCATCTCATCCCTGCGTGCTCTGATGATGTTCCTGTAGTCTTCTCACAGGGCTTGGCTCTTTTTTCACATACCAGAAATTTCTTTCTAGAAATTATCTGCTCATTCATGTGGATCTACTGTCCCCTTTGCCTGATTTCCTGCTCACAGGGCTACACTGATCTTGAGCTTGGAGGAAGTGATACTTGAATATTGACCAGCTCTCTTAGACCTCCTTATCTTCTAGAGCCTTATCCCATGTGATTCTTCTAAGTAGGTCTTCAAAGAGGTCAAAGGTGACCCTCAGGAAGCTCATGCAGGATCCTGACTGCCTAGGAGAAAGGGCCAATGTGTATGTCTCAAACAGCAATAACCAGATAGTTGTGGAGCCAACCAAGGATTGTTGGTAATAACAACCAGTGATTGCTGGTAACACACACTGTGAGAAAGAACAGGGTGTGGCTGGAGAAGGTGGCCATACAGAAGTAGGACAGCCCTTTTCCAGGACAAACATCCTTGTTGTAACTCTTGGAGATAAGGACAACAGAGGGCAAGCACCAGAATGAGACTGAGAAGGGGGGATGCATGGACTATAGTGAGGGATCAAGACCACCCAAGATGCCTGAAGCCCTCTGACCCATTTACAGAAAGGTCTGAAAGAACTGACTGTGCATGATAACTAATTTGTATAGAAAATGAGAAAGCTGTATTCATGGCAAGAAAAAAAAAGGTATCCTCACAAAGCCCAGGCACATGTGCACCACCTGTCCCTGGACTTCCCATCAGCTGGAGCCATGCTGGAGACAGGACTTTCTCTGTGTCTCTCTTGCCTTCCCCCTCCTCTTTAAATCACCTCTCTCTCTCTCTGTGTCTCTCTTCCTCTCTCTCTCTCTCTCTCTCTCTCTGCCTCCTGCTCTCTTCCCTTTTGCCCTACCTCTTTATCCAAACCTCACTGCTGTGTGTGTATTCTAGGAGATCAGGGACTGACTTGTATCAATTCTCATGCCAAGTGTGGAATTTACTAATAAAGTTTTGTAAGCTTCTGCAGACCATCTGACTTTTGTTGTTCTTTGACCACAAGCATCTACAAAACTTGGGTGTTCCTTTTCACTTAAGGACAGAACAACACTGTGACTAGTGGTGGCAATAAAACGTGTACAAGGGCAGGCTTCAATCTCAAATAAGAACCTTCCAAAGCAAGAGAAAATTGAGGTATAACAGTGTCTTTGTGTCCTCTTTGTGTCCTCTTGCAGAGGACAATGGATCAACAGAATAGGCATGACTTGGGTGTCACATCCATGGTTTATTGTAATTTGTGCTTTGAAAGGTGTGTGTGAATAACACACACCTGTTCTTACGAGAAATTAAATATCCTGACAATGCTACAGCCTTTTCATCTCTATTAATTACCCAAAATATATATAATTCTCAGATTCAAAATATTGTTTCAGACAGCATAAGACTTCTGCTCTTCTTAGGGGTGTCAAGATAAAAAGCATTTACAAGAAAGTCTCTGACAGAAAATCCAGATAATGACATTGCAAATATTGATGCAGAAATCCTGTTGCAAACAATGCCATCTATGTAATGTTAGATGTGTAACTTCAGATCAAATGGGGATACTGACACAACTCACTTCCTTTTGTTAATATTATATAAAGTAAGTAGTTTCTGTTTGTCATGACTCTGTCTCTGCACTTGCCCTGAGTAATCAGAATTAAAGGATTTTTACAAATGCCCGCAAGGAGAAACAAAATCTCACTATTTTTCCTGCTCTTGTAAACTGGGACTTTCACTGAGAGATATGTGGTAAACGCTAGAATCCACTATTTTGAAACATAAAGCTTTTCTTGAAGACTGAAAATGTGCAAGCAAGATCTGATGTGGAAAGTCTTTAGCTGCTCTTCTGGTGTTTCTGTACACAAGCAAGGTATTCTTGCACATCATCTGGAGAGCCAAGTATAAGAGGAACTCTTTGGTGAATATTCTCAGGTTTCACATCCAACACTGCTTCGGTCCCTGTAGTTGCCATCCCACCTGCCTGCTCCATGATGAAAGCCATAGGGTTGCATTCATAGAGAAGTCGGAGCTAGAAAGAAAGAGGAAACACCTGATTGCCTATGGGGGAAATTATATCAAAGGACTTGCCAAAACTTAGCATTCCTTTGTGATTTTAGAAAATTTTGTACCAAACTTCAACTGACCTAAGTAGCAAAGTCTTTCAGATAACCTTTCCTTCCCTCTCTTCTCACCTTTCCTAAAGCCTTGGAGGAACAGCATGCCTACCCTACATCCAGGCATCACTACTATAATTTCCAAGCTGATATACAGACATGCAGCACCAGTGAAGCTGTACTTTGTCAAAAAATGTCAAAAGTGGGTGTCCCACAGGCATCAGCAAAACATTTAAGCTGGCTAAGCTAACAGTACTGAGACAGAAAAGCCAAAATATCTTCTCATATAGAGTCTTTATGTGTTAACTCAGAGCTTGGGATAATCATGTTATGTTTAGTCAGGATATTTTGGAGTTTGAAACTTGATGCTCCCAGTTTCAAATATCCGGATTTTATTCCTTCTCTTCAGAAAAGTAGGTAGATATTAGTGGCCTGAACTTATCCAGATAGTGGCTTCAGAAGGAGCTGCAGTTATTTATTAAAGGCAAAATTTCCCTTTTGGTTTGGACCCTGATATCTGTTTACATATTTTTAAAATGTTACCTCTTGGGGTGAGTGTGTTCTGGTGGAATGCAAATTTATTTAGGACATATGCCAAAAGTTTCTGTGTTTAAATGAACAGCGGTGATAGCTGCTCAGTTCTGAACAAATATTATTTCTGTAGGTTTATCTATGAAGTGCTCTTGTACAACAATATCAGCACATATTTTGTTTAAAGGACTCTTGACATGTACAAAAGAGGAAATGTTTTCTGGGAAAAAGGAAGCATGATGGAATGCTCCTGTATATAGAGACAGAGAAATGGGTTGAACACAGGACATCACTACCCATCATGCCTTCAGCACACTGCAATGAAACCGCGATATACCACAACTTAAATAGCATCGTTTTACCTTCTTTCTTATCTTTAAAGCCCACTGAAGTGATACTTCTGGTACAAGGACTCCATCTCTGAGGCAACATAGGACCAGTATCTTTCACTCTTGTTCCTACTGCTTGGCCCAATTCTGGAAGGTCGTGAGCCAGCAAAATGCAGTGGCATCACCATGGAACCACGTTCCAAGTTTCTTGTTGCTACTGTGACTATGCAACTTGAGGAAAGCAGTTTTTCATCAGGTGGCAGTGCAACTGCACTTAGGGATCTTCAGATGGGCTCTGTCTTCAGACAGGTTTAACATTTTCACCTAATAGAGAACTATAAGCCTTGAGTTTATAAAAAATATTATTCAAAATATACCATTTGAAAAGAAGATTTACTTTTTGTCTTGTCCTGTAGTGTTTGTTGAACATTTAGTTTTCTTTCTTTAACTTAAGGAGGGATCTGTAAATTTTAGGGCCTACATCCATGTAATTTGCATTTACTCTAAAGAGTAAATCAATTCCTTTTGATCAATTCCAGTGACATTTGATTCTTTTCAGCTCTCTAACCAAGTGCATAGACTGTCTTTCAGGGAAGAGATGATCAGGGCACTTGCCACAAGAGTATTATTTCTCCAATAAGAAAAGATATATGTGAAAAGAGCTATATACACCTGCACTCTGAGACAGAAAGAAAACCTATTTTTAATAATAGCATGTTCTGCTTCTTCCATTACTCTCTTTACTCTGGCAGTCCAAGCCAGAGCAATCCATTAATAAATGTGGGCTAACTCTGTGCAAACCTTATTTCTATAAAGTTATGTAAGTGCTTAGTTCCTTTGTACTTTTGTCCTGTTTTTCATTCTCTCTTTTCAACAATGGTTTAGTACAGATTTCAAAATAAAACATTTCATTTGAAGAGGCCAGTCAGCAAACCCACTTTTTTCACATACAGCAAATTCCTTTTTTGTCTCTTTCTCCTATGTACAAACAGATCCAAATAATTTAGTGAGGGCTTTTTGGGGTGGTGTTTTGGGTTTTTTTTTCTGTGGGATGGTGATCCAAAAATTTAAATAATTTTTGCCTGGACAAACATGCAGACATTTTTGGTTGCATATGTTGAAGATAATTATTTTCCTGGTTTTGTTTTGAAGACCATTTGGATCTGCTGGTATTTTGGTAAATACAAGCTCGCCATGATGAAACCAGTAGTCCTCTCTCCCTAAAGATGGTAGATATGAGGATATTCTGAGACCAGTGTGGGAGATGAGGCAGATACCTTCATGTACCAGCCATGGATGTAAAAACATTTTAACAAAAGGTTTTAATTATGGTGTAGATCAGGAAAGAACGCATTCTTGGAGTCAGAACACCATGTCCAACCTCTTATGTACTGAGCCAATGAATTCCTAAGGATGTCCTGCAGGTTACTGCTGATACAGAGATCAGCTGTATGACTAAGTCTCTTAAAAGATATTTGTTTAGAAATTTGATTATATGGGTATGTGATAGTGCAGAAGAGAAGTTGAGGTTGACAATGGTCCATGGCCCATCACTTTAAAGACTGACTGCATTGCATTGCACTGAATTGTCACAGTGCATTTTGTACTGGTGTCCAAATGGGAAGTCATATTTTCCTAAAATACTGAATGAAACCCACCTCCCACTGTAATCACCTTTTCTGGTCAGGTAGTAGAAGGATGAATTTGCAGAGCTGGTGATATAAGCTCAGCGTCCTTTGGAAACATAAGGTAGGAAAGCTTTTTTTTTCTAGCACTGGACAAAATCCTTTCTGGAGCTCAACATAGCCCACTGGCTGGTGCAATAATTCTAGTTGCCAGTTGAAAGTGCAGAGGTTTTTCTTAGATCTGTGTTGTATCTGTCAGCCATGCACAGGTCTCTCAATGGGTTTCTATGGTGCTGAAATACTACCTTTAGAAAAATAATTAAGTCCGTGGTTGCAGAGAAAACCACTTGAGGATTTAATAATATAAAAACACAGAGGAAGTTTTCTGGCCTAAATTGGCAATTGCCAACATTTCTTTCCTAAATTCGATTGCTGAGCGTAATTTTCATTAAAATTTTTTTTCCGCAGTGGAACATTATTATTTGTTTATTTATCTAAACTATTGCTCTGGTATTACCAGAGATACTAGGTTGGCTAAGTTCACCAGAAAGGAATTCAAATACATACCTTTCCTTTCGGACTCTTCTGATTAGCAGGATACATGAAGATCCCTCCGTACATCAGTGTACGGTGAACATCAGCTACCATGGAGCCCACATACCTGGCACCGTATGGGGAGCTCCCATCCTGAAAAACACAGAGCAAAGCACTATGTTTACCAGGCTAGACAACTAGTAACATGGCAAAATGTAATTTTGCTATGAAACAGGAATCAAAGCTGCTTAAATCAATTGCTGCTTATGGATACTGCAAATACCAAAATCAGTCCTAAGCTCAGCCTTTTGTAAGATGTGATTGTGTACAGGGTTCAAAGATAAGAGTTTTAAAGAGCTGCAGAGCTGTATTCACAGTATGCAAACCAGAGTGCCTGTAATTTGGGTGCACAATTTGGAATCAAACCCCAGCCTGTGAAAAAGCAAGGGACTGAAAACAAAAAAAAGTCAAAACAATTTTATTTTTGATCTTTCACTGATTCCTAAACCAGAGCATGAGGAGTGGTGTCACTCCTCTACATGTCCAGATGGTTCCAAGAGGACTCCAACTTTTACCTTCTAGCTTATTTGTCAGGTAGTGAAATTGGTCACAGCATTTATTCTGCAGCTTAGTTTGGGAGATTGCAATTTATTAATGAATGTAATTTTTCTTGCCTTCAGCTTAGAAATTGATGTTGTTGAAGGACAGGCCATTTTAACAAGAGCAATCAAGGAAGTATTCATGTCAGTCTCAGGTCTGCTGGCCATAGAAATGGGAAGGTAGAAGATATAGAAGACAAGCAAGGTGTCTTGAACAAATAGAAATACGTACAGTAGACCAAATAAGATACACTTAAGATATTTAACATGTCACTATACTTTTATGAAGGGGAGATACAAAATACAGATATAAACTGAAGGAAAGCTTTCTCAGAAAATAATTTTTCTGGTTTTCCATATCTCTCAGTCTGTCTTCAGTAAAGCTGAGGAGGAATTTTCATCTTCCCAGAACATTACGAGACTGAACTTCATGAACATTTAATATACATATGTGTTTTGTATTACAATGCTAAAAGTCTGAAAATATCTCATAATATAATAATCTCATAATATAATAATATTTCATAAAATATCAACGTATGGGTCAGTTTTCTAATAAAATATCTCAGCACTTTATACCAAGCTCATCCAGTACTTATAGTACATCAAGAAAAATACATAGAAAACTTCTTCAGCAATGTCAGCTCCAAGACCTTCAGACACCACAAGTTAGTCATCTTTCCCTGCAAAATCATAAGGTTGGCTGGGTGAAAAAATCCACAACAGGAAGGAAAATAGAGAAAAACATTATTCTATTTTGAATTATTTTTTTCAAATTGTTCAATGTGACTGTGAAGTATTGATAATTACTCTCTATTAAAATGGAAAAAAAACTCATTAAATTACACATTATAAAGCAACAGAACACTAGGAAGTTAAGTTCTATGCTGATAAACATAAGATTTGGATTTTTCGTATAGCTGATAATAAAATTGGAAAACATACCTATTCCAGGCTATGTAATAAGCCTTGTTCAACTGTACATATGCTGGTGTTTATGATTTGTGTTGCACACATTAGAAGAACTATGAAAAATTCAGAAGAAAACAATGCAAACAATGAAAAACTGATAGATAAGACCCAGCCTAGATCTTTTACATTTAGTTTTGTTTAAATCTGGTCCTATTAATTGTAGGCACAAATGAACAAAGGTTTTAAGTATTTGCTCTCTTGTTTCTCATGGCTTATGCCCAAATAATTGCATATTTAGGCTTCATATGATAGCTTCTCCATCTCACAGCTGTTTGTACTTGTGACTTCACAATTGTAAAAATCTGACATCGGGAAAAACCAAACACCTTAAGAGGTATTAAAGAGAGACAAATGTGAGTTTTCAGTTAAAGTTTGGGAAAGATATGATTATAGTCTCAAATTACCTTTAAAAATACAATCCACAGAAGAACTTTCTTTTGTGGTTTTAAAAGGCAATGAACTGAGTCTAAAGAACAGTTTGTTGAACACTAAGAAGAGCCATAACAAGCAGCCCCTGAACCAGACTGCTAAAGATTACTTCTATGATATTATCAAATAAGGACTCTGCAAACCACAGGTATGAAATTTAGTGACCATGAGCTGCACAGCTGAGCCACCTGTGTACACATCATCTGACAGGTTTGGAACGTGCTAGATTTCCTATTCATATGCAGATTATTTACATAATTTGTGTGTACATGGACTGTGTTATGCGAAGGATGCTTTCAACTTCCAACTCAGGATATTCTAAGCTCATGAGATGCCACTGACAATTTTAGTTGTTTCTTACCCAGATAGATATTCACCAGCTAGATACACAGTGCTGAGACTGTGCTGAGAAAAATACAGATAAATTCCTCCTTTCTGATAAGGTTATCACTTCAACAGCATAATGAAATAAAATTTTTACTTCCCTTAGCATACAGCTGTCTGCATGGAAAAAGAAATACTAATTTTAGTTAATGAAATGTTATTTCTTGTTTCTCCAGTTTTATTGCTTATGCATTTTTTTACAGATAAGAAAGTTAATAGGTGTTGCATGCATATTGGCATATTGCCCAGGCATTCTTCTCAAACAAAATAATAGAGCATGAATGCTAGAAAGGTTATCCCAAGTCCTCAGGAGTGCCAAGCTCTGTGTTTGCTCAATAAGCACTTCTGATTGTTTAGTGGATGCCAATGAATGAGGTGGAGAACCTTCATGTTCCCTTGGTCAGCATCCATGTTGAGTAAACTTGTGGCTACTCTTGTTTTACCCCTTCTGCTGCTTTGTCTTTTTTTACTTGACTCAAAGGAACAAAAATGATAGATAGGTCCTGTGGGGTTTTTTTCCCCTTCACATTCTGATAGAAGTTAATTTCTAATTTCTTTCTTCTACTGTTTTCTGACAGGCCTGTTCTTCCACAGCAGAACAATACCAGATTTTTCTTATATAAATATGATAGCTGGGAGGGGCAATAAATTTTTTCTACAGACTACCACAGCAACACCCCTGCATCCCTTACTCCGCATACTACCAGATTTTTCTTATATAAATATGATAGCTGGGGGGGGCAATAAATTTTTTCTACAGACTATGACAGCAACACCCCTGCATCCCTTACTCTGCATAATGATGTAGTGACAGAAGAATAGTGGTTTTACTAGCTTTTTTGTATCACTTGGACACAGCTTGGCTTCATACTGAAATGTGCTGTGGGGGCAAGTTTTCAATGGCATTGCTGAGACAAATTCTTAGCCAGAGAGTCTCAATTGCATAGCTCTAATCATCAGCAGGCTGTGATGAGACTCAGCTTCTCTTGTGCCTGACTGTAGGAAGCAAAGATGGTGCAAAAAGTAGGTGTCAGAGCAAAGTGTGACAGTGTCCACAGGGTATTTAAAATTCTGCCAGTACCAGAGAGAAGCTAGGGCCTTGCAGCCATTATGGGAGGAAGAACCCATTTTGGGGAGGGGTAGTGGTAAAATTTGTGCAGAGATGGTTTCTGGCCCAGCAGCTCCCACTAAGATTGGAGTAAAAAGTAAACATGTTGCATTACAGGCAACTTTGCAAACAGAAGTTTGCTCTTCAAACTGGTTAAGCAGCAGTGTGATTTTGTCATGCTTAATAAAAAATCAGCTTCACTTTCATACCAGAAGAGATATGGTTAGACATACGTTTCCCACTACATGATAGTAGTAGGAGGCTTAGGTCCAGCCCGCAGAACATCAGCATTTTTCTAGTGCTTTTTATTCAGAATTAATGTCTTAGGTAAATGGTGATCCACAAGAAAATTTGAGGGTCAATATGGTTTTGTACTCCAGACTGTCTGATCTGGGACACTGCTGTTAGATAGTAAGGGGAAATCTCTCTTCTATTCATAAATGGTTGATTTTTAGTGTTTTGTTGCTAATGACAATGATATATAACATAGGATATGTTGTGGACCACACTGTACTTTTGATTCCTTGTTATATTTTTAACTTTTCAGTTTTTCATGGCAATGTCAGAGAGTCATCTGAACAGCATGTTGACCAAGAACTACAGAAAGGAGTTAATGGAGGTAAAATCTAAGGAAGAAAAATGCAAAAAAAAGAAAAAAAAAAGATAGCTAAAACTGATGTTGAGTCTCTTGGCTTCTAGAAGCCCAAAGTGTATAGGGTGAATGATCTGGTTGAATAAGGAGGTGTTCCTCTATGCCCACACATCAGGTCCTCCTCAAGTCACAGGCTGGGGATATTCAGCAGACACCTTCACTACCCTTCGGCATGCTGGAGAAAAGGGGACAGAGACTGAAACTGTGAAGATCTCCACCTGGCTCCTGTAGGGAAGGCAGGAACATCACCAACGTGGCTGCAGCTGGGTAGCCTTACAGATGAGGCCAGGAAGCATGTTGCATTCTACAGAGAAATGGCAAAACCTTTTCTCTCTAGTCCTCCCCACTACGCAACTATAATGTCCTTTCCAAATCAAGGAACTGAGTTACGCTGTTTCCAAAACTCAGGTTCATAACAAGCTTCAGATGGGCATGGCACTTCCTTGTGCTTTGTGGCCATAACATCTGTGCTTCAGCCCTTCTCATGCTGACAACTGTACATGTCAGAGCAGCAAAAAATGTGATTGTTCAGCACAACTGAGAAGATTTCCTGTGCCCCAAATAACCCACTTCTGTACTGCTTGCTTTAAAGCAGCAAAAATGTCTGCCAGCTTCTGTGGTAGAAGTTAGAGCAATTAGACAAGCAATTTCAAATTCATCAAATAATGCACAGATTTGAGATGAAATAGTGTTTGCAAATGAGTTTTTTTTCCGGTATGTCCTAACTTTGGGATTTAGTAAGTCACATGATAGAGCTGTCCTCACTGATCCTGTGGGGAAATACCTCTGTCTGGTCTTTCCACTGAGTTTGAAATCTTTTCAGTCTTTTCCTAGTTGCCTGGGGTTGATGCATTTGTTTAAGAATTTTACTTTAAACAACATTTTAGTGGTTTGCAAAAACACAAATTAATAAATCCCATGTTAGTGCATTATACTGAATACATAGCCTGGTATAACATCAGCAGAATGAGAAGCACAGACGTTCTTCACTTTCCAAGCTGGATTTCAGGAAGTATAAAAATTGTGTCTGCTTCTCTCACAGCTGAACTGAATGCAGACTTTGAAGTCTCAAAATAATCTAAAATATTCAAAGTTAATATATTTAGAATGCTGTGATGTTAGACACTCTGTAGCTACAGTTTGGGTAGTATGAAAAAGAGAGTTTGATATTCAGTCAATAGTCTTGCAGCTATAGCTGATATGGTAAATCCAGATTTTTAGCTCAGAAGGAGGAGCTTATTATAGGACCATAGTTTAAATGCCTACTATTATATTTCCCTTTTACTGCACCCTGAGGTTTTTACTGAATCCATTTATTTAACACAAACCATATTACAAGTATCCTTGACAACTAATAGCTTAAAAATAATCTGACTATTTTTTTAATAGGAAAAGCTTTAAAAACAGTTTCCTGGCCAAATTAAGTCCTGAATTGATCCACATCACCATTTTTCATTATGAATTACTCTTCACAGACACACTTTCTAAAGAGCTTCCAGGTTTCCACATTGCGAGCTTGTGTTCTGTCCTCCTAGCATTGATAAGTTAATGCCAGACTGTATTTGTCCAAGGAAGTTCATCAGACAGGGGATGTCTCTTTTTTAACCACCAAATATAGTGAATTTTTGCCTCACACCATTTGTTTAGGTTTTCTCCCCAGCCTATAGACTGGTTCATGCTCCATATAATGCAAGTAGACTGTGCAAGGATGATACTGCATTTTTCAGCTGCAAGAGGGTACAGGAAGGAGAAGGTGATGCCACCCAGATTCCTGCAAACACCTTCTGGACAGCACATGGAATCTAGCCCTGAATGCCCAACTGCACACATTACTGAACTGCATATTCAGATAAAGGTAGAAAATGAGGTTATCCCTAAATTTGTCATGCATATTTCCAGAGTTTTGTTGAATGATCTTGTTCTTCAGCACATTTCCCTTCACACAAACCAGCTATGACTTTATTTACCAAAGTCTAAGTTACAAAAGATGCCAGGATGCAAAAAAAAAAAGCTCCATTACATGCATATCCAAAATGGACCAGCTGATATGAAAGGGTTACATGGGTTTGAACTGAGGACGACCTTCAAATCCTTTTCCATCAGCCAGGACTGCATGGAATGCAGTACTTGCCAATGAGTCGTACATTGGGCACAGTGCTAATATTTTCTTACCTCAGGGAATTTCTTCCTTTGCAAATATTCTGTCATTGCAGGATCAAAATACTTTGCATAACCTTCATTGAGACTGTATACCTTCCCCTTCTTCTTGATTTTAACATCTCTGTCCACCAAAATAAATTCACCAAGACCCTGCAGGACAGGATAAATGAGGTATTAGCAGGCAGCAGAAAATTTTGCAGGCTTTCTGTAACAGTTGTCACACTAGACATGGCAGAAATGCTAGCACAGCTTGATCCTTTCAGTACCAGTTTGTGCATAGCCTCACAATATTTCAAAACCAGCAGAAAGCAGAGCATTTACATTAAATTAATGAAAACTTGTCACATCAGTACTATAAACAAAACCTGATTGGAATAAAATACCAAAAGAATACCAATCAGCCCTGAAGCAGATGGATCATGAATCTCTGTCCTCAAATCAGGAGACTTCAAATTAAGAAAATGACACTGCCTTCTGGCTTTTGGACTCTTTTTGCCTGTCTGGTCTAAACAGCTTAAAGTGAATGGAGTCAGCTATACCCATGTGTTGCTTTCTGCAATTTGATTTCAATTTCCAACTTCTCCTTCTCTCTCTCAAGCAGAGCAGTTCATCTCCCAGTTCTTTCCACTTGGAATGAGACTATTTACAAATGTTACAAGAAGTTTTGGCAATAATTCATCATTTTATTAAAAACAACCCCACAAAACCAGAAAAAACAACAGTATGTTGTTCCCCACATCTAATTCTGGTTTTACAAATGAGTGATCTTTCTTGCGTTCCCACAGTAACACTCATTGTGTTCCTGGGCACAAAGTAGCACATGTTCAATTGTACAGGCATTGTTGTACTTTTGCAAATTTTTGGGTATGCACTTTAGGTGACAGCCATAAAACTCTAGTGCACTCAGGAAATGAAACATCACTTGGCTCAAGCTATCAAAAAATGGTCCTTGCCTCAGGCTAAACAGTGAACATGTTGATGTTCTTATTCAGACAGAAAAATCAAGACTAAAATAGACACAGATTCCTTTCAGTGAAGACAAAGACATGGTACAAATCCAATTTTCTTAAGTATTGGTTTGAATGAAGAGAGTTTCAAGCACTTAATTGAGAATTTAAGTTAATTTCACTTCTATTGAGTAGGAAAAAACCAAGCAGGTATTGCAACCAACATGCTTACATATTATTAAATAGTTATAGAGAGAAGGTAGGATGATCCAGGATATGGAAAAAAGACTTGCATAAAGTGGATAGATTACAGAGACAAGGATTAACAAAAACAAGTAAAACCAAGCAGCACAGAGAGCTCTAAAAGACAGTGGCAATGTGCTTAGCACCATGACTGTACCGGATCAAGCATGAAGCAATCCACTCCTTGCCCTGTGGAGAGGGCAACCAGCGTAGCACTGCCATACAGGGCATAGCCTGCAGCAACAATATTGCGTCCAGGCTGTAAAGCATCTTTTTCAGAGGGCTCATCATCTGTTTCCTGAGGAAAAATTACCGTTTGAACCAAAGATTAAATTCTGATAATGAAAAATAAAAACAACTTTTCAATAATAATGTGCAACAGATTTCCTTTTTCTGTCTAGGCAGGCCTTTGAAACAACAAAAATAGAGACTGTTACCCCCTCCCCCCACCTTGTTCAGGGCAGGTTTGGTACAGGTTCATGTACATGCTGAGACAGGATGTTCAGAGTTTGTTATTTTATACATGTCATGCAATCAATATGATACATGCCATGAAGCTGATCCCCTAGCATTATATCCCCAGCTATTAATTGAGGATCATCAGAAAACTGAGACAGAGCAAAGATAATAATTTTCTGTAAATGTAACATAAGCTATGATACTGACACCCCTCAGAGGGAATAACTGAGAGATAAATGCTGTAATTAACATTACAGAAAAAATGCTCCCATAGTACAGAATAAAAGTATATATGGTACAACATGATGGAACCAAGTTTTTGCATTGGTCTCTTCTAGTGAAGGGATGCATAACTAAAGGGATATAAATGTTCACCTATTATATATAAATGCTCATAATATTGTATACAAAATAACAAATGCATTTGTTAATGTAAAATGTGCATGTGTGCAGTACTCATCTATAAGTCTGCAGAGAACATTCAGGTGGCATTTTACTTGATGCTTTTAATCAATTTCTGACACTCATATTTTGATTTGGCACTTTGGTTATCATGGAGCAACAGTAGCCCAAGCAGACAAGGTGCAAATATTTCCAGCCAGCTCTAGGGCTGTGCCTCAGCCACAGCTTACAAGAGTTTGTCTGTGGGGTAGGTAAGGAGGACAGCCAACAGTACTTGGGAAGGCTGGGTACAGCCTTTATCTCCTGCTGCTGGAATTGCAGCAGGTTTGAATTGCTTGATATCAATGCTTACTTAAAAGCTTATCAGTTGTGGTGGGTGTTGCATAGATGTTTTGGTGGTGATCCATAGGGAATTGAAATGAAACACTCCCTTCAGATTGCGGCTCAGCATTTTATTGTTCTTAACTCAGTTTCTCAGTGATTGCAGAGGCTTATTTAGATTGAGTAGCAGCTAAATAAAAACAGCAGGTTTAGCCCTGAATATCTGGTTAAAAAAAAATAAATTAAAATCCATGAAGACTGCCTTGTATAGAAAATAAAATATTTGCCCATCAGGGTCCTAGTAAGGTGTTCCCATTCATTGTTGTATGCCAACACCTCAAGGAAAACTGAAATGTGGGACACCAAAAGAACAGCTTCTTGGTACACAAAGATAGCAATTTCACAAAAGACTTTTGTTGCTAAGTCACTTCACTTACAGTCTTTAACTGTATTTTGCTCAAATCCTTTTATTACTATTTTGCCAAGTCCTTCTGTGGAAATAAAAAAATGCAGTTGACAACCAGCACTTCATGGGAACTGAAATATAGCAGGTACAAACATATGTGGTACTCAGTCCCTTGAAACTATGTCAAGCTGCTTATTCTGAGAGGTTGCAATGCAGATAATGAAGGAAGTTTAGTTTAAACTTTTGTTTGCGTATTTCAGAGCTTTGAAAATTGACTAATAGTGGCTAATACTCTGTGAAACAATCCTTGCAGTACCAACTATTATGGCCTAGGTAGCTTGATCTCTTTAAAAATATACTCCTAGGGTACATACATCTCACTATTAAAAGCAATGGTTGTCTATAGCAGACTAATTATTTGCAGCATCAAATGCAGAATTAAACATTAATTTAGACAGTTAGTTTAAAACATGTTATGGTTGTCATAGTTTTTGTATGCTCCTCTCATTAAAGAAACAATAATTTTGTATAGAGCAAATGGGTTTTTTTCTAGAATACAGTGTACATACAATACATGCAACTTTGGAATATATATAATATTTTTAATTTTTTTTCTGAGTTGAGCTTTTCAATCCTATTTCTTAAATGCATTTTCTATGTTAATATGACTGAGAAATTATATATTTGTAGACTATTCTGAAAAAAAGCAGAGGAACTCTTTCCTCACAGTATAGTCAGTCAGGCTGAATTCACTTGTTTTTTCATCCTTATTCACAACTGTGTTTGCAAGAACTAGTTTCCAAAAAGAGAAAAATGTTTGAAACAAACATTTTGCAGAGCTGTGAAAAGCTACAGATCAGCTGATACTTCAATGTTGGGACTACAGGAGTTTTGTCCTGCCAAGTACCATGTACTGTTGAACAAACCAGGGAATTAAGCTGGGCAGTACACTCTGATGATTGCTATTTTCTCTTCTTTCTGGTGCACAGATGGATTTCCTGTCCATTATATTTTGACTATGATGATGGTAGTGAAATACCTTTAGAGGCCTTTATGCAAAACAATAAAATAGACAGAGGGACTGCAAATAATTAGTTATAGTGACTCTGTCACTATAGCTCATAATTGGTGTGAGGCTGATGAAACAAAGCCTGCAGAGTTTCACTACAGGGGTACCCTCAGGTGATATTCAAGTTTGAGTATTTTTGTGTTTGTGATTTGCCTGACATCACATGAGGGAATTCTTGCCACTGCTCTCAGGACTAGGAGCAGCATTAAAATGACTTATTTCCAGGTCTCCATTTGTATCATGTGTTTCATGAGTAGCCTTTGTGTTTTTACTGAATTCTTACACCTTCTCTGTGAGGGACCACACAAAGGGGAGGACATTGTCCTCACGTCAATGAGGGTAGCAAATAAAGTGTAGAAAATAAAATACATCTGAGGCTTTGGGCAAAGTTACGAACTAAAACCAAAATGAAACAAAGCAAGTGAGTTTCATAGCATATTTGTGCAGTATGAATTAAGGTTTTCATGCCACATTTAGCTCAGTGGCATGAAAACCTGGGAAGAACCCAAGCAAAAAGCATTTGTTGTCACCACATCTTGACACTTTGGCAACTGAGAGCCCCTCAGTGGCAGCAAATGTCCAATCCCCTTCTGATTAGGCAAGGCTCCTCCCTCAGCCCCACTTTTCAGGTGTTTCTGATTTTCAACTGCACCACCCTGATAGCAGAAAGCAAAGGCCAGGTGGAAAATTAGATAAAGCTGAGATAGTATTTATTTCCTCATGGGTTTTCCTAAGAAACTGATAGAGTGCTTTTCTGACATCATTAAATGTGGTAGAGGCTCTGGATTGGGTGCAATCAGACAACTGTTTTCAGGATTGCAATGTATTGTCCAAGTCTGGCCCTTCTATAAGAGTGCTTATTATCTGTTTTGGGTTTTTACTAAAATAAGCCAAATGTTCCTGCTTTGGAGAGTGTGCCTTTGGAAATGAAGTTAAGGTGAGACATGGTGAGAAAATCAGTCAAGAGCTCATCTCAGAACTGGTAGATGCTAAGGTTCATCCTTTGGAATCACAATGATTCCACTTTTTAAAAAATATTATTCATTAATGTTAAGTGGCCTAAAATTATGTTCTCTTTCTTAAGTGATACTTATCAACTGGAATAAACATCTCCCTTTTATTCTTTCACACTACCCTTTAGTAACTTTCAATAAAACACTTCTTATTTAATTTCAAAGGAAAATGCAGCTATTGTCTACTGCAAATATTGGGAGATGCAGTTGTCATTTGGGGTGTCTTTGGAGAGATAACTGAAAAGTGTGGAGGTCCCTCTGCTTAACATTAGAGCACATTTCATAGATTTCATCAACACAAATAAGCTCTTATCCCTCAAAAAAAGCAAGATACTGCATGGTACTGGATGTTGCAGTCCCAGGAATGCTCTTTCAAAAATCATACCCAGACACCATCTCAGTGCTGTCTGGCCTGCACGGCATCCATGGTGTGGGATTGCACTAACCATTAACAGTGCAGATAGCCAAATTCCAGGACTTGGCTTGTGCCACAACCCTCTTGAGGTTATGCCATAACTGTTTGATTCATTAGTAGATAAATATTCTCAACAGTGATGACTATTGTATTACCGACAGGAAATGTAAAAACCAAGGACTAGCCAGCTAAAAATTATGAGCTAAAAGGTGAGAGACTTAAAAGACGTATCTTGAAGTGTAACATCTGAGTCTGCAAGGACTTCTTTGAAGTCACAAGTCTGTAAACTGTTATTTCACAATCGCAATGTCTGGGGTCTCCCACAGTCATATGACCGTGAGCTCAGGCTTCGGAAAAAACACCAACTGCTGGGAGATTAGCAAACAAATCACAAGACTTGGCATGACTGTAACTCCTAGCGTTTGTAGTTGGCTGCACAGCTGCTGCTCTGTGCAGCCCCATGGGAGCAGACATGCTACCCGGTGAGTGCTGGTGAGTGCTTCCTTCAGCCCCCAGCGCTTCCATGCTGGCGGACTCCCGGCCAGGACAGGCACAGCAGCTGGCTCTGGCCGGCCCCACGGTCCGGAGCAGGGCTGCCATCCCCCGCAGCGGGTGTCCATGAGGACAAATCCTGCCATCCGCCGGCACCTAACGCCGAGTCAAGCATCACTGAAGGAGCTAACCAGCTGCCCTGGGGGTGAGATCATCGTAGTAAAGTGCCTTTGTCCGTGGAGGAAGGAAGTGCTGTCACCTAACAATGTCATGGGGCTGGGTGTCCCCTTCCTGTGAATTCAGGCAGCGAATATCAAGCGTTCGTCTACTCTTTCTAAGGTTCCCTTTTGCCCAGACGCCTAAGGGACCATGGAAAGAAACTAGGCAAGGTCATGAACTCAGGACGTTTTGCTTTCGCCAAGCAAATCATGCTACGTGTGATTTGCTCCTCTTACCTTTTTGTAGATAGCAAATATTGTTCCTATTGGTGCCAAGCAGTCTATATTGGATGAACCGTCAAGGGGGTCAAAGCACACCACATATTTACCCTAAAATAGAAATGGAAAGGGAACAGTTTAATGATAAGTTGCTTGGCATTATTATTTCCTTTTACTTGAAAACTCCCATGTTTTTACATGTGAATTTAACCCTCCACGCATGCCTGATACAGCTTGCCAGAGAAGGCTGCACTGCTGACCCAGCTGGCCCTGCAGCACAACATCGACTCCCCAGGGGCCTGCCAGAGAAATTGGAGACGACCTGTTTCTGCTCAGACAGCACAAATGGATGAGTGAGAGGAGCAGCACTCTGCTGCCAAGCAGCGCAAGAAATTGTTTAAAAGCAAAAGGAGTGACTAATTTTGGAAGCAATATCTTCCTCTAATGAATATGTTTTGTTTTGCCCCTTTTGCTGTGAATGAAAGGAATTCGGTCAGTTGTGAGGTTTGAGGGCAAGAAAGCAGAAAGGAAAAAAAAAATCTTCGGGAAAGCAGGTTACATCAGCATGAGAAGTAACTCGCTGTAATAGGATCCCCTCCTGGGGGAAGCCTGATGAAGCAGTCAGGTGTTTCCTTTGGACATGTAACATAACACTCAGTTCTGCCAGCCTCTCATCTCATTTTATCTTTCTAAATACTAATGTAACCCAAAACCATTGCACCAGTGGTCAGGGAATGTAACAGTACACTTACACCTGGGATTCGGGATGTGTTAACAAGCTTAAAAATAATTATTCTCCCCTCCTTCACAAAACTTTAATAATAATTTTACTTTCCACATTTCTTTTAGCTGTTGAAATCATGCCACCCACTACAGTTATTAATCAAAACAACGCAGAAATGGTGCAAATTTTCTGAATTCCCCCAGGAAGCGGGGGGAAGGGTTGGGTTTGGGGGCCAGGGCCAGGTTTCATACTTGAAGCAAGAGTGCCACCTGCTGCTGCCTGAGCCGACAACCCCCCTGAATGCCGGAGGTGCACAGACCCGCTTGTCTTTCGGGGTGATGATGGCCTCCTTGTTCTCCTCTGTGACCAGGACGCAGGTGCTGTAGGAGGACTGGAGCATGTTAATCACCAGGGAGTTGGATAATACATCCAGCTTCTTCACCTCATCACCCGTCACATTCACCGTGCCAGCTATACCAAACCTACAGAACAGTAAACGTGTCAAGAATCCTGAAGGAGGCCAACATTACAGGTTTTTATGAAAAAAACACCCCATCAAGTCAAGGTTCTTCCTTCATCTTATCTTCCTACACCTTTAGACAATCTTTGGATGAAACAGCTAAGTGCATTATAAGACTGTTGCTGCTGTAGAAAATAAGAGCATGCACTTTGAGGCCTTACCTGGGTCCTTTTGCTCCTGTGTAGATGTTCTCCAGGCCAGAAGCAGAGCCTACAGCCCAGGTGGTGAAGCAGCTGACTGCAGTTTTGAGGAAGCAGAAAGTGCACTGAGCATCTGCAGTACTTCCTGCCACTAGCTGCTCAGAGCTCCATGGTGGTCCTTTAACCCACATTCACTCAGACTCCTGCCAGCCCCAAATCAGGACGTTAAAGGCATCCCTGGGGAATTTGCCATATGGAACTGTATCTCAGGATCAAGGTCTGCTTTATTCGGTGATCCTCAGCTGAGTTAGGATGATGCTTCTTTTCCCCATCTTGATTTTAGCAATATGCCAATGACCTACTATAGTACTATATAGGTTTCTGAGACTTCCAGTTGAAGAAGCACTGTTTAGGCCCAATGTGCATGTTCTGGGCAACTTAAAAATACAGCAGGCAAAAGATACAGCTTTTTTATTCATTCAGAGAAATTAAATGTTTGGGGAGGGCAACAGGGGTGGGTGCGGGAAAGAGAGGAGGAGAAAGAATCAAGTAATTAGTCCCTAGAAGGATGTTGGTCAGTGGCAGTCCTGAGCTGGAAGTAGAGTAGGTCTTTTGTCTTGCTCAAAGCGCAAAGCTGCCTGTGCTTTTCAGAAGTATTGAGTGTTTGGGACATTTTATTTTTGGGTGCCAAATTTAAGATTTTGAAAAGGACCATGATTTTCAGGGAATGGTAAGTACTTACTCTCCAGTTAGTGTGTTTTCAGGCACAATCACAGCTCAAGTCTATGACATGGAAAACGTTCTCTTTCACTTTTGAATTGAAAATTTGTCCAAAATTCATGCTTAGTGCTTTAACATTAAAGAAGACACTTACAGTCTCCTGTTTGGAGGGAGTAGAAAAATCAGAACTCTTTAACTGCACAAATGCACATGGATGCAAACCACTTTCACAGCAGTTGAAAGTTTGCCATGGGAATCCCTGAAATTGCATGGTTAGTTTCAGTAATTTGAATGGTACAAGTTACTAATTTGTGTGTTTGGATACTTTAGATATTTCTGAGACAACATCTGAAGATTTTTGTTCATAAAAAGAAACATTTGCTCCTTAATGTAATGGATGGTTTGGTTTTTTATCTGAAGGGGAAGAAGGATTACTATTATTACTATTAGAGATTATTCCACCTCTAGCCTATCAGTTTCTCTGCTGTTACAAACTATTTCAGAGATTGTCTGTATAAAGATAAAAATTATGTAAGAGCAATTCTTCCTTTAAGTCAAGGAGGTAAAATAGCTCAGTTTCACCTAGTAAGGACAGAGACAAAGCATAGTTTAAGAGTAAGGGCATAGGAGACTGAAATTGTGGTTCACTTTGAATATGTCTCATGTTCTCTCTAGGCGCTATAAAGTGAGGGCAATAGTTCTGAGACACTGAATTCATGGTTTGCCAAGATGATTGAGGACTTGGACTAAATAATCAACAGAAGCACAAAATCCCCCCCAATCCCTAGGGTCACATATTTTGGTGTTCCTCTGGAAGGAAAGAAAACCCCAAATCCCTGAACAAATAACAAATGTTGACTTTCTTTCACAAATATTTTCCTTGTCTCTTTCATGCGTGCAGGTATAAGTACCTACTGAGGCAGGTTCAGAAAAGTGTCTTTCAATACATATCAAAAACTTCCTATTTTAAACACATGATTTTATTAGGCCATTCCATATCTCTGAACTCCTTCAGATAGATTACTATTGAAAGACTTAGACTGATGTCTATTGCACTTGTCCATGTGTAACAGCTGAGTACATTCCAGTTTTGCTAAGGCCTTTTTTTTCCCCCCCCATCTGTGATAGTACTAGATGCCAAATTGTTACATTTGGTTTTCCTAGAGGGCCTTTTGAGACTCCCTGCCTGTAACCCTGCACGTGGGATACTGCTTGAGGAAGGAAAGAGAAATGCAGCCAGATACAGCAGCGCATGGAGTTTCTCTCAGGGCTGTTGCTTTGGAGCATTGATTATACAGCAGACACGCAGAAAATCACTTTCCCAAGATAAGCCAAACCCTGACTTGTACAGTTCAGCAGAGGGCTTGGATGTTAGCAGAATACATCACAGTGAGATATTCTGTATTAAAAATATCATGGTGTGATTTTTAGCAAATTCACAGTAGATATAAAAATAGATCAGTATCAACAAGTGCAAGAGATAACAAGGTGAGCAGTGCATTGAAGTTCTGTTCTGACTTACATTTTTAGAGTAAAATATTACAGCACAGCAGTTAGTTTAAATGTCTATCTTGCACCTAGTATTAAAATGCTCCAGAAAGTCCTCCTGCTTCCCACTCTTGATAATCCAAGCTCTGACCTTACTCATCTTAAAAAAGACACTTCCAAGGTATTTATGAATCCCTGCCTGCTCCCCAGCCTTGCTATGCCAGTAGCTGTCTCTCTGACTCCTCTTCCTCCCGGTAGTGCAAGGTAGGACTCACATGTGGGCAAGGCCTGCCTTTCTGACAGCAGCAGAAATGGCCTTTATGGCAGTCAGCATGGAGTTGAGCAGCTGCGTCAGCTCCCCCGTCGCTCCTTTTACGCGGCGTCCCTTCTCCATCACGAATCGCGTCAGTGTCAGCATATCCGTTTCGAAGGGGCTTCTGTCGGTCATTTTTGCTGGGTACCAGAGCTCCTTCTCAGCTGGACAAGGTGCTCTCTTGCTGTGTTGAAATCCTGGGTAGCTGTTTTATTTTGAGGCGAAGCTGTGTTTGGCTGTGCTGCTGGTCAGAATTTATTAAGATGTTTCTGAGACCATGTGATTGAGTGCTCAGAATAACTGCACCCCAGGCTGGCTCCATGGCTCCACTGGGATGCAGGAAAGGAGCCTGAGATAGGACTACAGCTGAGCAACAACTGCTTGTCTGGGCCTCCCCTGCACTGAAATTAGCTCTGTGCAGATCTAGCTACACATTCTCACTGTACTCAGACTGATTATAATGCAAAACTCTCATTGTCTGCATTCTTGGAAATGGCTTTCTTGTCGATCCTGTTCAGCAATGGATTCAGCATAGCCAAGGCTATGTTTACAAGGCACCAGAAATGAAAGCACCACACATCATGTGCCACAGTGTCCCACAGCACTGTGACTCCAGACAGTGAAGTTCCCTTTCCATAAATCCTGTTTTTTCACTCTCTTTTGGCCTCCACCCTGAAGGTGGGTTTTGAAGGGGTGCATCCAGACATGTGGTTTTTGAAGTGTTTTATGTTGTTAGTTGGTCTGCTGCAGTAACATTTGAATGATTTAATTCCTGGTCTGGGTTGTTTGTAGTATTATAGCACTTGAATGAATGAGAAGTACTGGTTAGCTGTGGCTTGACTAGTTACAAAGCAACTGGATCTCCAATAATTTACAAATAAGGTTTCTCTGATTTAAGTGAATCAATGGTGTAACTCACAAAATGAAATTTTATGTTGGCTTTCATATTGTACTGTATGTCAAAATTTGCAATTATGCTGTCAGTAACTCCTTACAAGCAATATCCTAGGAGCACATGATGCCAATGTGAAGGTAGACAGAAACTCTCCAAATAATGTATTAGATTTTGCATTAGATACACGCTGTCTGGAACACTGGAGTTATGGATTTTAATTACAGCACTGCCTTCCCACTCTGACTAGGCAGTAAGATAAACTGTATGCTGCTATATGCTGTAGACTTCATTTTACTTAGTAGCAGCACTCTTATTTAGAAGATATGGAAAGCCCACCAGCAAAACAAAACCTGGAGTAACAGAAGAAAATTTTATTAAGTTTCATTGTTATTCCTTTAACCCATATTACTGCACCAAAATCTTGCCAGGAAGACAGAAACAAAATTCAGTATCAAAACATATACCTAATGTGTTTTTGTTAATAGGAACTGCAGCTGAAGCATTTCTTCAGATTTTCCTAGAAGTATCTCTTCATCTATGAAAAATACATTATTTGTAGGGTTTTTAAAGGCATTTGAATGCTAAGATTTTCTATTTTGAAGTCATCTGCAAGAAAGGGTTTTAGAGATTGAAAGCACTGAACACTAGCCACAAGTAGAAAGACAGAGTTCAGTGCTGCTTCCATCCCATGTGCTTAGCTTTGGGGGATATTCTTCCAGTCCTGTTCCAAGGTGGAGAAAGGACTGGTGAGTGAAGTTGCTCAGATGGAGCAAGAGGCAGGTTTTATACTACATCCTCTATGGCAATGGTTGAAGAAGTAAGAAATCCTGAAGCCTTCTCTTTTCTATTACAGTGTATAGTTAAATGTACAGGATACTGTCCACATCACAAGACAAAAGTTACACAACATGTTCTGCCTGGTTAGGAGACTTTCCTCATTTAAACAAACTGTGTAGAAAAACAAAAATAATGTGTGTGGAGCTTTGGGATTGCACATGGTAGGATCAACAAAATAAGGTTTCACGTTATACATGCAAAAATACCTGCTGGCTTAAAGTACAACCACTACACTCTGCAAATTATTTCATCATCATGGCAGCTGTCAGCCTGACCCACACTAAAATGCTTTTAGTGCCAAATCTCTCCACTGTGTAGCTGGAATACCATGAGCATACCAAATCAAATTAGTAAATAAGAAATGAGGTGGGGGTTGGCCTATGACTTCTAACTTTTGTCAAAACATCACATGCAGATATTCTGTTGATTCCAAGTAATCTTTTACACTGGTCAAAAAGACAAAGTTCAGATCATCTTCTAACAGAAAGTTTATTTTGGAGTTAGTGGTTCAGAGAGTGTTTTCAGAGCTCATAAGTCCACTATTTGCCCCCTTTTTTTTTCTTCTTCTTTTTTTTTTTTGTAAAATCTGTGAATGTTTTTTATAGGTACTGGATTTTTTGGTATATATAAGAAATTAACTTACTTACAGACTCTTCAACTAATCTTTCCATAAATATTGCAGTCAACAGCATAGCAAAAAGAGAAATAAAACCTGGATAAAGGCATACAATTGGATTGTATGAAAGCTTCACCCTTTATTTTTTTGTTAATACTGTGATCCCACTGAAACATAAGAACCCAAATGATTACATGGAATGATTAGGCTATATAAATAATAACCATTTTGAGGAGGTGGGAAGAAATCAGATTGTGTAAAAAATGTGTGATGATTGTCTATAAGCCTTACGTGTACTGAGAACTTCTCAGTACAAGAGGTTGGAATAATATAGGAAGGCCAAAAAAATAAACACCCCAATTTGACAGATGTGGGAGATTTGCCCTCTAATATAAAGAGCTCTTGGGCATTATTCATACTTGCACTGGTGCATGGGCCAGTCCTGAGCCTTAAAGGTGACACCTTTTCTAATTGATATGAAATGTTAGTTGCTTGGATGGCGCCAGCTGAAACTGGAGCCAATGACCTTTCACCAAAGGGCACAATGCAGCTTCTGAGGAGGGCAGTGGGTAAAAGTGCTGTGGGGGTTGACAGCAGACCCTGTTAGAGATCCACCTTCCAGCTCTGCACTGACAGACTGGGAGAGCTCCGGATATGGAGGGGGGGATATTGAAGGAGGCTGCTAAGTAGTTCTCCCCACTGGTGGCCAGCCAGAGATACTGTTCAAATGTGGGCTTACATATTACTGATTAGAAGACAAACCCATCTCACAATGGGTAAAATGGTAAGTTTGAAATGTCAGCCTGCAGGCAAAACCAAACCACTGAGTACTGACCTAGCAAACACAGACAGTATTGACTTTCCTCCTATAACCTTTACATGCTGTCAGTAGGATGTATTAAAAATAGATGTATGCAGTCCAGGATTCCTGTAAAGACTGAGGGCAGATTACAGACAAGGAATTACAGTAAGCAGGCAAAAATCGCTGCTGTGGATTCTGTCTGCTGCGTCATGATAACAGACCACAGAGGCACTGTAGCCCAAATTGACTGTTGCCAGCACTCTCACAGTCTTTTAAGCACTCAGGTTCCTGAAAGTTGTCTCCACTAGCACAGCCTCATCAGAACTGACCTTTTCAGCAGAAGCTAGGCCATTCAGTCCCTGACAGAAGCACCTTGCCCCCTTCAGTTTGGAGAACAGATGCATATATACAACTGTCTAAGGTTTACCCGCATGCCTCCAAATGCCCCAGTATGACCTGTCAGAATGAGGGTCCTCAGGTTTTTATTGGTCTGAGTCCTCACAGAGTATGCCCTTGCACCCTGGATTTCAGCTTCCCCATACTTCTCTCTTGTTTTACAAGAAGAACCATGCTCAGTTAGGCTATCTGCACTGATACAGGCAGGTTTGTAACTCATGGCACCCCTAGACAGGCCCTCCCAGACCACAAACTGAGTCAACACTTGGTGGCAGCTTACCCACAGCAGCAACCATGTGATCCTTACTTTGAGTTTGGTGAAGGTAAGTGGGCAGTGAGAAATATCAAAGATTTGCTGATTTTAATTGATTCAAAAACTGCATCCACATAGTGCTGGACAGCCTATTTAGCTCCCAAGCACTAGTGTGCTCTTCCCAGCAGCATGCTCTGAATGAGCATATTAAATGTCAGTATGCTTTGGGGGGATCTTTGCACCTCCCTCCTGCTTGCACAGCAGAATTCTTTTCCATGGTAATCCCCAATCCCAAAAAACCACAACATCTGGTGGAGGTTGCTAGCAATACACAAGTTCAGGTTTTCATCAAGTAAGCAGGTTAATTTTTGGCAAAGATAGCCAGCTTTAATGGGATAAAGAATATATGTAGACAGCTCATACATACACAGCAGAATCTGTGTATGTATGAGCTGTCTACATATACTCTTTATCCCATTAAAACCCCTCCACACTAACATGCCATTTTCCATCCTTGTGTAACCGGATCTGATAGAGTGGCAACCAGGAATATTAACATCATATGTTAGAATTAACATACACTACTGCCCATGCTTCACAAACATTAGTTCTCCATCAGGGTAAACCCAGACCGAAGTACAGGGAGCAACTTCTGCAGTGTAGACACTGGTCTAGGAAAGGTCACTCACTGTAAGAGGCTGCTGAGTCTTCTTCCCAGGACTTTTAAAAGAGGAGAGAGTTAAATGTATTCTGATAGTCTGTAACTTGTCTGAGAAAGGTGAGATTCTTCCCCCTAGATATTGAATGCAACACAGTATTTGCTTGCAGCACATGTGGATCTTCTGTAACCACAAATGACAAATGAAAAAGAAAACATATTTTTCGATTGCTTTAATTTTTAAGCTTCCTTTAATGCAATCTTTTAATGCCTTTCATTGCACAATGCAGTTGCACAAGATTTCACTTTAAAAAATCTTATGAAAATATGGCTCATTTGCTCTTTTGCTACAGAAGTCAGACAGCTCAATCTCACAGAACTGCAGCGTATTCTTTGGTTCAGCTGTAAGACATTTTTTTTTATCCCCTGTGCACAGTGAATTCAGCAAGCTTTGTTTACTT